GTGTGTGCGTGTTGTGACGGTTGTGTTGTTGTGAACGTGCGAGACTTTTTTTTAAGGCTCAGATTGCTGGCGCGGAGGCTGCTTCACTTTGGAGTTCCGTGGCCGGGTTTGCAACCAACTTGATATAGTGTGTTTTTGTGAGTTCCCCAGTGTTTTTATATTAAAACATCCTTTCCACCCTCTCTTCGTCCTTGTCCAAATGAATTGATTTTGGATCCGAAGGTATAGCAAACTTATCGTCTGGTTGGTTTTTAAATTAGAAATCTACAAGTCATCTTCGTGGTAACCGCCTATGACGGAGAGGGAGGGGGGCTGAGGGTAGCCAGCTGTCCCAAGCCCTAGACTTTGTACCATTAAGAGAGGGGTGCCGTCAGAGGGCTATTGCATCGAGAGAAAATCCTGAATTGTTCTTATTTTTCTCCTTGGCCATAAATTCTCTTAGTTTCAGCAGAGCTGGTGATAATCGATTCAGATGAGAGCTGAGTTTTTTAAGTTTCACGAAAAGATCCGATGTAGTTTTCTTAGAATGACTTTTTGCTTGCAAGCTGGGTGGTTTCAGGAGGTAGAAAGTAAGTTTTTACAGGCACAGAATGGGGAAGGACAGTCAATAGGGTGAGACATCTAGCCTCCGACTTCAGCGGTTTTTATTTGAATCAAATTGGGTAGCCCCAGTCAGCCTTAAGGAACTGAGTGCATGTTTTCAAGCCTTATTCATGAGATATGCTTTTTGATTTCCCAATACGTGTTAAGAAATGTTTATAATGTTTGTAAAGAGCCTAGAAGTTGTAGTCACCAGTAGGATTACTGAGGCCCTAAGTGTTCTAAGTTGCTTTTTGTAATAGGGCTTTTGGGTCCACTCAAGCCTGGGAGGGCCATCCACCTGAGAGCCCTCAGTTGTTTTGCTGATGGGCATAGTTGCTCAGCTCACCAGAAGGCTTGTCTCACCCTAGCAGCTCCCATTCCTCCCCCTTTTTATAGCAGTCTATTCTGATTTGAGTGTGCTAGGAGGATGAAAATACCCATCCTCAGATCCCAGCTTCTGGCATAAGTAAGAATAGCTTGTCCCTGGGTCCCTCTTTTCCTGTTCATTTTATCAATTTCAATTTAAAAAGAGATATAGAGACAAATGTTTAGATTTCCTTTAGCTTCACTGACTTAGAGGTTTTACGTGTTAATGTAAAATTGTGTTGTTCACCAAGTTACTAATCCTTTTAAATAATTTTACTTCTTTCCCCTCCTAATTAAAATATATATAACCATTTTGCTCTGAAGTGAGAAAACTTACAAAACGGATTGGATGCTCCCTACCCCTGCCCTTAATACGGGGTGCTATTCCTTCACTTGAGCAGGTAGGGGAGAGGGCTCACATTTTATAATGCCAACCAAATATACCACAGGAGGTGTCCTAGGAAACAGTTTTATTGTCAGGCCAGTGTCACAGCCTTTTAGGTAACAGCTGCACAGGGTTGTTTCCATTAAAGAACCAAGAGAAGGATATTAACTCAGATTTAGAAAATCTTTACACTCCTATCTGCTGTATTGTACCTCATTAAAACTTTTAAAATTTAATTGAAGAGCTGAAATATAAATTTGTCAGTTGTTACACACTAAATTATTAATAATAAGCATAGTAAAATAGCATAGATTTCAATTTTAAAAAATTCACTCCAATTTACCTGGTGACTGATAGCCATTATTTTAAACAGTCCATAGTCAGTAAATGTTACACCCTACAAGCTATCCCTCAAAATATTTTACCCTTTAGTTAACAAGAAAGGTAAAAGTTGCAACAAATGTTTAGATGTTTCTTTTGCTGTGGCTTGTTTCTTGTTAAAGAACACTGATAAAAGTATAAACTTTATATTTCATTTATATCAGCAGAATCAAGACCACTTTGTCAGTATTACATGCAAATAAAAATGGATGCAGTATTTAGGAGGGTGAACTTTTAATTCTCTTGCAGAATTTTTAAAACTGTATGGCTACAGAAGTTTCATATTTGCTCTCTGTCATATTAAGTAGAAAATAGCTCTAGCTGCAGTAGTTTCTTGGTGAGAGAGAGAGGAAAAAAAAAAAAGAGAGAGAAAGGTGTCTGTGTCTCTGATTACTGAGTCCAAAGATCAGGTGTATGCTGAAGGCACCAGAGGGCAAGCTCCAGTTTAAGTGAAAAATGGCCTCACCGTAAGGGTAATACCAGCCAGCCCTCATAGGTCTTTCCATTAATTAATTCTGACTAGCAGAACATGAAAATCTAAAAATGCTTTTGGCCACTGCGTATGTGCAAATAATATATTTTCTACCTACTCACTAAACAATTAATAGAAACCTACAGGCTGACTTGTGTTTAAGAAGTATGTTTAAGTATAACTTGGTTTTGTTGTTGTTGTTGTTGTTGTTGTTGTTTGTTTGTTTTTGCAGTGCTGGGAATTGAACCCAGGGCCTCAAGAATGTTAGGCAAATGCTATACCACAGAACTATGTCCCCGGCCCCTTAATTTAGTGTTAATATTTTTTAAGGAAACAATGAGTAACCAAAGTGGGCATGCCTTATTTTTTTTCCCCTCTTCTCTAATTGTTGTATTAAATGGCCAGTGCATTTGGTATTAAAGGCAAACTTCTGCCCTATGTGCAGATGCTGGGAAACCCTTATGAACAGAACTGTCCCCTGGAGCGTCCATCACTCATTGTGTGGAGCTGTGTCTTTCTCCATTAGCACTGTGTGGCAGTTCATTCTTTGTATGAATCTGTGAATGGCATATGTCAGCCCAATAAGAGGACATTCCTATTCTGGGCAATAAATAGATGCTTTGTTTGGTTGTCCCCTCCACCCCCGAAGATCAGGAGACAAACAAAAACATACTTGACTGTCTAAAAATTTTCTTGGCAATACATACAAATTAAAATTTCAAAATAAAGACAGCACAATGTCTTTTAAAATACATGAAGTCTAATAGGACAGCACAGATACAAACTTGTAATTTCAACAAGTACCACATACAGACAATGCAAGCTCCCTTTTGAAAATTTGGCTGTCTTTGTGGTCTGAGGGGTCCTAAAACTGGAAAGACTCACTCTCCTCTCAGGATCCTCTTTCATCTGAACTTAATTGGAAATACCTGCCAGGATTCACTGAAGCAAGTGCCGCAGTTGGATTGATCTGTGGTAGAAGCCCAGGATCACCTAAGCTCCATTCTGCCCCCATTGCAGTTTTCAGTACTGAATGAAGTCTCCTGGCCTCCTCTTCCACTTGCATGCTGTCTGGTGGACCTGGCCCTGCCTCCCAAAAGGGACAGCAGAACTAGGGTTGAGTGTGCCTGGCCTGGCTATGGAGAGTGGACTGAGCTGTGCGGATGCGTGGGGGTGGGGGGCTGAAGGGAGGGGGCAGAGGACAGATCAGCTGCCGCTGTGCAACTGCTACAGCAGGTCTGACTAGTTTGAGGTGCCCAAAGGCAGCTTTGTTTCTCTAGTAACTCTGGGTAGCAGCAAACTTAAGTTCTTAAAACTAACTCAAGTCTTCATTACTATCTTTTGGTCACTTTGCAAAAACCTGTAGCTTTGAGGGTTACTAGATAATTATGAGATTTTTTTTTTTTCGATTTAAAAACTTTCATAGGTGGTTAACTGAAGGGAAGAATCTAGACTAAGCATTTTTATTCTTCTAAGGAGTTTCACATAGAATAGTGAAGATGAAGGGATTCTGGCTCTAACACTATATATGTGTGTATATGTATATGTATGTGTGTGTGTGTGTGTTATACACACATACATATACATACACACACATATATATACATACATACATCACATATAATTTTTAAAAAGTATTTTTTAGTTGTTGATGGACCTTTATTTTATTTATTTGTATGTGGTGCTTAGAACCCAGTGCCTCACTCATGCTAAGCAAGTGTTCTACCACTGAGCCACAACTCCAACCATACATATAATATTTATATAAAACAATATATAGATAATGCACACATACGCACACTTATGTTTATAGTGGATTGTGTGAACTCACTGAACAAAAGGAAAAAGGACACTTGACTGTGCTATGGTCAGACAAATTCAATAATCAAAAGTCCCTTGCTGCAGATCAACCTTTAGCCCTTTGCTCTCCTCTTCTCTGGCTGACTGCTTATCATTTCAGGCCATGCCGCTGCTCCTGGGGCTTGGAGCTGGCCTGCTGGAGTACCCCACCCTTGTGTTGAGAAGCATTGCCCAAGTTAGACCCAGGGAATCTGAAAGTCCCAAGGTCATCTCTGCACCAGAACAGGTTTGCATACAATTCTAGCCACTGGAATGAGATAGTGAGGCAGCAACTGTTTCAAACTGATCTTCAGTGAGTACTTGTCTCATTCCCTGGTAGATGATACAGATTTGCTTTTCAGATTTCTTCCCTTTGTTGAGGGGGGCGCCTCCATGTCTGTGTCTTTTTGTATCTTGCATGGTATCATGGAAGAGCCACCTGCCAGAGGACTTCAGGCACTGTGGTCTGCAGCCTAAGGATTTTTGCTTAGCCTCTCTAGTTGTCAGGAATCTGGTAATGGTCTATCTGAATAGATAATAGATAACACTAATTTTAAAAAATAGTTTTACCATATCAAAAATATAAAATAAGATTGATTTCACCTGGTAGTGATTCTTAGCTGTCTGACGATTCTTCAGGTAGCCCCTGCTTCTGCTAAAGCTTCCAAAGAGGAAGGACAAATAGAATGTTAAGGGGGGCTAGCTGGGGAGGATAGAGGAAGGCTTTACTTAAAGGTCCTTGGAAGAAATTAAAGTTGAAGTATTAAGAACTATTTTCCTTAGAAATAAATATTTATTACATTTAGTGTGTTACTCTGATTATTTTGATTGTATATTGCTAAATGACTTTGCTTAAAGTTCAGTGAGTCATTCATTATCAATACACAGAAGTCCCTGGAAAGAAATACATTTTATCTCAGAAGAGCCCAGAAGTAGTTATTTAAAAAAAAAAAAAAATTACAAAGTATCATTTACTGCACTGAAGTTTAGTTTTATTCCTCATTGCCTTTTTCTACTATGTGAATTTTTCAAGTATATGATATAAAATTTAAATTGTCTTTAATAAAACCTCATCAGCCTACCTAATTCTTAAAGGCAACTAAAATAAACATTCCAAAGATGCAGGTTACCTACATGGAACAGGTATTTGCATAATAGAAGTTATTTCCTCCCTTTTACATATCTCTGGAGCATATTTCTATGATCCTGTACTTTAAATTTTTGTACTCGTATGTCATGTTGTAGAAATGTGATATCTTTCTTTTAAGGAACCCAGATTTAAGCCATACAATACAGTGGTTCACCTTACTCAATAGGTAAAGAAGAAACCATTTCTCTGGTTTTCTTCTGTAGACCACACGTGGGAGTTAAAAGGTGAAATCTATGCTGTATATGTGAAGAATATTTTAAAAGATCTTTCATAGTAATAAGCTATCCAAATCAGAAAGCATGATTAGTTTTTAATCTTTAACTTTTAAGCAAAAAGTGCTTCCTGGGGTTACATGCATGGTTTTTCTTCAGTGGCAAAACCTGGATTTAACTAAGATGCAATTTTTTCCCCCACAAAATTGTTCTAAAACTGACATTTACCTGTTGTAGTATTGACTGTTTTATATATTTGGTGACCCTCTTTAAGAAACAAAAAAATGTCACTTTTGGCAAAGCCTTTGGTGTCTACCCTATGCCTTCTTTATTTTCCCCTGACATTGTTTATTAAGGGTCTCTTGTGTGAGGAGAAAAACAAGGTATCTTTGGGGAAAAGATGCTACAGGAGAGTTGAAACCAGAATCCCATCCATGCAATTATAAATACAGGAGAAAAAAATATTTTCATTATGCATGGGAATGGGTGGGGGTTGCTGGGTGATCCTGATCCAGACAGTCCTATGCGGGGGAGGGGGGGTGTCAAATCTGAGGATTCCTTCCCTTAATGAGACACTTATTCAGAATTGTAAAGATGTAGGTACTCCTGACACCAAATTACCATGAAGTAGCTTATTAATGTAAATAATTGTAGTTCATAGTTACCAATTTTCAAATGGAAAAACTGATAACTAGTACATCTGTTGTGATACATACACATCATATAACCTGAACTTGTAATTTGAATAGAAAGAATTCTATCAAGTAGTTACACAGTAAATCAAGTAGTTACACAGTCAGTTGCTTCATTATCTCCTTTAAGTTAACTGCATTGCATTTTACAGTCAAATACCTCCTCCCCAATGTCCTTTATGAAGGGTTTTCCCAAATAACTGCCTGAAGCAGAATCTGCTCTGTGTGGAGGTAATTTACTGTTATTAAGAAGCAATAGGATTATTGAAGACTTCTATACTAGTAAAATTCTTGGTGCTGAACTTATGAGATTCCGTGTGTGGTTAAGAGTCCACATTAGAACCCCACTGGACAGTTGAACTGTTGGCTTCTCTAAGTCCACACACCGTGACTTGCATTTGTGTTTGTTTCTGTGTGTGTGTTCTCACTTCAGGAATCCTCCAGGGATCTTAACTATGGCTTTAGAAACATCGTTGTTACTTATATTCAGGCAACAACCTTTCCTGTACAGTGTTTCCAGAGCTTGAACCATAGCATAATATAATTTAGTTGGGCTTGGCAAGGCTCCCAGCTTGCTTAACATGGCCCTGTGGATACCTGAATTTGGGACTGGTTCTTGAAATGTGTAGACTTTGAGAGCTCTGTAGACAGAAATTGCAGTGGAGAAGCCGACTTCAGAGGTGCCTTGTTGCTCTGCTGCGCCCCCGTGTGGCTGGATGTGACGCTGCCTTTCAGAGTTTACCGGCGTTCCTGCTTGTACTGGGCTGGCTTGTTTACATAGAGCGTTAGCAGCTTTCTTCTGTGCAAAAACACCTCGCAAGTTAATATAATAGTTCTCACTGAGGGTGTAAATAATTTTTTGTACTTATTTTATTTTTTTATTTGTAGAATTTTAAAAGTATGTATTGATGTGTTGTGCTTTTTAATTTTTTATTATGGAAAATTCCAAACATACTCAAAAGTAAGAGTCCAATACACCACCTCATACTTGTCACCTTCTTCAACAGTTATCCACTTTTTGTTGACCTTGTTTCATCTTCGTGGCCAGTTGTTTTTGAGTACTTTAAAGCCAATTTCAGGCATCAGATCATGTTGAATATGTTTTTATTAAACTAAATTCAGACACTGCGTAATTCCACTCAACTTTTCATTTGAATTAAGTGTGCCCTGCTTTTAGCCACACTCCTTAGGTAAAATAAAGGAATTCTAAGCACTTCCATTGTCCTTGGAAGGTGATGGGTGTCCTTGGCCTCATTAGAAATGGGATTGAAATCTAAAATTCCAGCGAGATGAAAAGCATTAAGACAGGATATTAGAAACATTTTATACTACTTGACATTTAGGTTCTAAAAAGCCTATTTTTCTTTCCAAATGCTTACCAACAAGGACATAATTTATTTTAAAGAATGTTTCTTGAAATATTCCCTTCCAGAATTTGACAGTTTACTAAATGCAATTAGAGTTAGTTAAGATTTTAAGACTTCTTTTTTCCAAGCGTATCAGCATTAGAAATTGTCCTCAATTTAATGGAGACATGTAAATAGAGGGAACACTAGAATTTGTTAAAATGTGGACATTAGAAAATAACCCCACAGGATGAGACTTGTTTCTTACGTTTACTTGAGGTTGGCCTCCTGGCCGAACTCAGCTTTTCTGTGGGCTTCAGGCCACTGCAGGAAGGCCAGGAGGCTTGTGCTGGTGTCCCTGATTCCAGGCAGGCTGGTGGGAGCCGCGGCTGCAGTGGGAGGCGCCATCATCTGCCGTGTCGGGTTACAGTCTCCCTGAGCTGGGGTAACTGGCTTGATCTAGCGACTGGCTTTATAATTACATTGCTGATTTGTTAGGGGAGGCTTTGTCTTACTTACCAATTAGCATGGATGTTACTGCAGGGACCTCCAAAATCCTGGAAGGGCTTTGGTTTAAGAAAAAAAAAAAAAAAAGTTTCCTGATCCAGGCAGCTCTTAGGGTTTCTGTCACCAGCCCCGCCCCATCTGTATAAATAAGCTGAGGTGCTCTTCCCACCGGAATTTTGTCTCTGTGGCTGTCACTTTGGGGTCTGGAGTCTAGCTTGAGGATGGGGAATACCATCCCCCACACCTGCAACCCCCCCTCATTGGGGGGGGGGTGACAGTCACCACTGCCCAGCTGCAGTGCCAGGATACTGGGAGGCCCTACTGAGGCCTTGTGTTTCTTCTCTTGGGCCTCCACTTCTGATCCCGCCAGCCTCCCCAACCACCATGTCCTTTTCAAAGTGGTCTTTTGGTCCTGGCCGGGTTTTGCTGTTACTTGGAGCAGGGAGGGTGTTAAAAGCTTAGCCGTCATCAGGTTCCTTGGCCCTTAGCTTTTCAAGGTGGAGTATTCTAAGTGTGAAAACTTGCCTCAGCGAAGGAGGCTGCCCCCGTCCAAGTGTCAAGGAGGCTCCGGCTTCTCCCTCCTGCCCCAAGACACAGTAGGACAGTGGACTAAGGGGGGCTCCAGGTTGCTGATGGGAGGTGGCCTTCCGTCAGGGACACCTCCAAAGCAGGATCCCAAGCTCATCTGAAGGCAAGCAGGAAGGTGAGGAGAAAGGAGAGGCTATTCTGTGTGTCAGAAGTTGTCCCCAGGCAATTCCCAGCCTACCCACTGCGACCTTTCTTTGGCTCAGAAGCCTGTCACAGACACAGTTTTGCCAGGGCCATTCCTTTTTGCACTACCCCAAAAGAAACAGAAAGGATGTGTCTCCACTTAGAGGGCCTGGGCTTGGGGGGCACAGGATGTCACAAGGAAGCAGCTGCTCTGGCCTTGCGAGGTGCTTGTCACTCCTCTTTGGTTGTTTTCCTCAGAAGAAGCAGATCCGCGTGGATGTTGGGGTAGAGGCCTCGTTTTTATGGGTTTTATGGTTTTTATCTTCAGCATTGGTGGCTGCCAGGCTCTTCAGCAACTGATCGTTACCCCAGGAGTCATATTGGACCATGTGCTAAGGAGGTTAGGGGGATGACACCAAATATGACCAGCTCCCCAGAAGCCACATGCACCACTAGAAACCGTAGATGCCGTAGATGAGTTTTGCCTTGTAACTGACTTTTGAAATAACGTGCAGCTTCCTACACTCCTGAAAAGGGAAAATGCTGAATTTGTAGCTGCTCTTATTTACTAATCCAAAAGGAATTGGATCAAGTTTTTGAAAATGCACATAAGGGACCAACCTACTAGGCCTGGTACAAACCATCCCAACCTGGGTGTCAGCAAGCACCCCTCTTCCAGGTGAGGGTGGTGTTGAGCTCAGAGCCTTCTCTCCATGAAGGACCAGGGGCCTCCACTCTCTCTGACTCCATTTTGGTCGGGCATCAGTCACACCCTCTCCAGTCATTGCTCCACTTCAGAAATTGGGACTCAGCTGTCAGTTTTTACCCCCCTCTTAAAGATCTTAGATAGCATTCGTTCTCTTCTCTGGATACCAAGTAAAAAAGTCTATTAGCTAAGGAGGCTTTTCTTTCTGTGTAGAGCGGTGACTGAGTTATCTGATGGCTGAGTTTGGGGAATGAATCGAGTGAACATATAATATAGACCTTTGCATCATTCTTGACTGGCACAGTCAGAAGCAAATCCTCCTGGGGGGCTGAGGAGGGCCCCCACAGTATAGTCTTTCCCTAGGGTCTTCACCTGGGCCACTAGGAAGCCATGGGGCCACAGACTCGGTGAGCCTGCATGTGAAAGAAGTATGTTTTGGTGGTGAGATTGGGATGACAAGAGTGGTGGCTTGAAAATGTAGATTTCATATTCATTCCTTAAAAATCATAACATTTTATTTTATTTTGACAATTTAATAACCCTAAAGGGACAATGATTTTAAAAAAAGTTTTAAGTCAGCTGTGGTAATGCATGCTTGTAATCCCAGCTACTCAGGAGGCTGAGTGAGGAGGATCTCAAGTTCTAGACCAGCCTCAGCAACCTGGTGAGACCCTGTCTCAAATTTTAAAGAAGGGCTGAAGATTTAGCTCAGTTGTAGAGTATTCCTGGGTTCAACCCTCAGTGCCACTAATTAAAATAATGATGATGATGCTGGTTGTGATGGTGCACACTTGTAATCCCAGCAACCTAGGAGGCTGAGGCTTGAGGACCACAGGTTCAAATCCAGCCTCAGCAATTTATCGAGGCTGTAGACAACCTAGTAAGACCCTGTCTCAAAATAAAAAATAAAGAAGGCTGGGGATGTGGCTCAGTGGTTAAGTGTCCTGGGGTTCAATCCCTATTACCAAAAAATAAATAAATAAAAATTTTAAGAAGCACAGGTTTTAAATAATTGAAAAAATGGCTTAGATATAACTTTTTCTTGATTCATTTTATGTTTGCATATTTTTTCCTGAATGTCTTAAAAGATAATATTTCACAAATTTTATTTTTAGGTACTAGCCTCATGAGGTGATGCACAAATGTAATTCCAGCTACTCAGGAGGCTGAGTAAGAAGGATTGCCAGTTGGAGGCCAAGTTGGGCAACTTAGGAAGATCCTGTCTCAAAATTAAAAGAGCTGGGGGGCTGGGGTTGTAGCTCAGTTGGAGAGCGCTTGCCTAGCACTTGTGAGGCACTGGGTTTGATCCTCAGCACTACATAAAAATAAATAAAGTATTATGTTCATCTACAACTAAATATGTTTAAAAAAAAAAAAGCTGGGGATGTAGCTCAGTGATAGAGCACCCTAGATTCAATTCCCACTGTCACAAAAATAAATAACTAAACAATTAAGCATAAACATAGGTACTGTTCCAGCTCCTTTTTGGACCTTGGGCCTCACTGCATTCACTTTAAGATCATAGCAAGTGTCGTCTAGACCTCATAGCCAGTAGGATCTGATATTTCATTCTGAGAGGCCGAACTTTGTCATTCAAATTAAACTTAAAACATCTTAATTGTGCATGTTAATTTTTTAAAATATCAGTTGTCAGGCCAGGCACAGTGGTATATTCCTGTGGTTCCAACTACTCAGGGGGCTAGAGGATCATTTGGGCCCAGGAGTTTGAGAACAGCCTGGGCAACATAGCAAGGCCCTGTCTCTTAAAATAATAATAATTGTACGTATGTTTGAGCGGTCAGTTGCTATCACAAAGAGGCTGTTCATTCCTTTTTGCCCTCTTGCTTAGTCACAAATAGGGAAGACCTCTGGAATCAAGATTAACTGAGAAAAGATGTTCTCAGACTTAAACGTAAGTGGCCTGATGGGGAAAAGAGGGAACGGGGGTTCTCAGAATTCTCCCGTCACCTGGACACTTGTTGGCAAGGCAGATCCCTGGGCCAGGAGCCTGGGTTTCACAGGTCCCCGGGAGAGGCTGGGGAGGCTGGTGCGTGCCCAAGTTTGAAAATGGAAGCTCCAACGAGGGGCTCTCACAGGAAGGCTGCCCAGCTTCAGCTTTCCTGCCCACCCTGTGCGCCTCAGACCCCTCCTTGTGACCAGGTCCCCTGTAAAGCTGAGCTGCTCTCCCCTTTCTTCGCCCTCTAGTCCATGCAGTTAGGGACACATACCTAGCTCTGTTCTACACCATCTTCTCTGCTGTCCCTTGTATTTTTTCTCATTCTTTCCACTTACTGTTCATTTATTCAGCCCCCAAGGGCCATCTTTTGTGTTTCAGGGACTGTCTGTGCCTTCATGGGGCTCACTGTGGAGGTGGGAGACAAACATGAAGAGATAAGGTCACCTTAAATACAGACTTCAAACAGGGGGCCACGAAGCCAGTTTCCAGAAGTCTCCCTTGTTGGCTCCAGTCTGTGGTAATGGCTAATTCCCTCCTGGGGGAGCCACTCAGAATCTGGAATTGCAGAAGGAAGAACAGCCAGGTCAAACAGTCCCCTGGTCCTCTGGCCCTTTGTCTGCTGGGGAAACTCCTAGTGACATTTGTTACTTTTTAGCTTGTGCCCCAGCAGACTGTAGCTTTTGAGGGTAGGGTCCTTCCTAATGAAAGGCTGCTCCATTGAAGGCCAGGCCTGGTGCACAGAGAGTTCTCTTCAGAACTAATCTTCCTGGGAAAGTTTTCATTTATTTTGCTACTAGTGAGTTTTGTTCCTTATCTTTTAAATTTAATTTGCTGCAGTGTATGCTAAAGTTTGTTTTTAAAAATACAGATGGGGCTGGGGGCGGGGGTGTAGCCGAGTGGCAGAGAGAGCACTTAAGCGTGGCATGTGCGAGGTCCCGGTTCCTTTCCCAGCACCACAAAAAATCTGTAAAAGTACAGAAAAGTTAAGAATTGTTTCTAACAAGTTCACTGGGGAGGGAGGGTGTTCCATCTCCAACCTTGTAGTAAGAGTCAGTGAAAATTCAATAGAAAAGTGGCTGGGCTTAGTTTTGAGTCCCCTTTGGGTAGCAGAAGAGGGAGGGAGCACCTGCCTGATTTCTCCATATGGAGGGATCTCTGACCCACCCCAAAGCTCTGGGTCTTTGGGGGCTTTGTCTGAAAAACTGGGTAGAAGACGCAGGGTTTGGACTTTGGTCTTCACAAGCAGAAGGAGTGGGCGACAGATCCCTGGGGTGGCCTGGAAGCAAGCAAGTCACCAGCCCGTGCTCCGGGTGAACTCCAGGCCCATGAGCTGCACAGCCAGCCGAGGGGAGCCCCCTTCCGCCGCGTTCCCTGGAAGCCCTTAATGAGCTCCTGCTACTGCTGCATCTGCAAGCTGCTGCCTAGTGAGGCCTTTTGAAAGGTCACGTGCCTCTCCAACTGCGCTTAAAGAACTATTGTTATTTTCTCAGAAAGCCTGAGGAGAAAGAGGCTTCTGAGGAGCTGGCGACCCTGGCCATGGCCAGCCTGAGCCAGGCCCAGAGAGGCCAGGAGGGGCCCACGCGTCTGGCTTCCTGCCCTCTGGTTCTTGAGGGCATGTCTTGTCTTTTCTTCTTTAAATTGTGCCCTGCTTAAGGAGGTGGTGGTTAACACAGAGTCCTGAGAAG